GTCCTTTGGGCAGCTGTGGGATATAAATCATTGTAAAGTTGGTTTAAGTACATTGTGTACTAATTTATGACATATCCAAGTAATCTTTAGCGTCATGTAAATTATAAATATCAAACCATAAAATACATCGAATTGGTGAAAAAAAGATTTATTATTTGCAATTATTTGTTAATTTTATTTTAATTGACTAACTAATGTTGCTAAACAACAACAAAACAGCTCTATAACAGCATCGATCACTAATAAATAGTGAGCGATGTATAAGTTTTCTATCGACTTTAAAAAGGAGGAGATACTCAATTCGACTGTATGTTTTTTTTTATGTGTGTTACCTTTATTCATTTTTATGTGTTAACTTTATTCCACGTGAACCGATTTCGATGGTTCTTTTTTTTATTTGAAAGCTGGTGCTACTCATGTGGTCCCATATAAATGTGATCAAAGTATGGCGAATAGTTTTTGTGTTATCCTTAATCTTTATATATAAAAATTAGGTGTTACGTAATTGTTTGTCCGCGATGGACTCCTAAACTACTTAACTGATTTCAATGAAATTTGGCACACTGTGTGCATTTTGGTCCAACTTGAGAGAAAGGATAATTTTTATCCCGCTAAATGACCCTTAAAATTTTTTATTACGAATTTAAGGATTTTTATAGGACGGGTCGTTGGAAAGGGCAGAAAACGTCTGCCTGGCGAGCTAGTCTTTAAATATAAAAATTACGTACTTTGCTCGTCCGCGATGAACTCCTAAACTATTGAACTGGTTTCAATGAAATTTTGTACAGTGTGCAGTTTGGTCCAACTTGAGAGATAGGATACTTTTTATCCCGATAAGTGACCTTCAATATGTTTTTATTACGAATTAAAGGATTTTTTCATAGGAAGGGTCGTTGGAAAGGGCAGAACAACGTCTGCCTGGTCAGCTAGTAATAATATATATATATTGAAGTCATTTGTACAAAATTTTAAATTTTTTATTATATTTTTAGTCAAGAGTGAGACATTCTCTGTTTGGTTTGTCTGTGTTTCATTTGAAATGAATCATACATAGCGAGTCTAAAAGTGGTATTGATAAATAACATACTGCCTCTTAGATTTGTTGCTTTGTTATTTTTTTGAAATCACATACGTGGGATAACTATCTTTCCTTGTGACGGATTTGACGGATTCACGGATTTGACGAGCGAAACTGTCTATTACTTACACAAGCGTACCAGGTGGAATTGCCTTGACATCTTCACTGATGCGGCGCAGAAACTCTTTAGTTTCCCCAACTTAAAGACGTGATGCAAACGCTCGATTCTTGAGGTTACCTCCACAGAAAGAGAGAAATCGCAAGCCCTTCGATAGGGGAATCTAGCTGGCCTACATTCTTAGCACTTATATACGTGAACTTGTTTGACTGCTTCACTAGTCTAGTGGTCGTTAGCACGTCTGCTAATCATGGAATTCCGGGTCCGTATCCCTGATCAGGCCAAAATTAGTTATTGGGGTTTTCTGTCAAGAAATTCTCAGTAGCGTAAACCGTTGCCCTGCGCTCAATCGTCGATCCAGTCGCGTCGGATTTCTGTACCATTCGACTATGAAAGTGACTGACTTGAGAGTGCACCTGTGTTTGCCACACAGTCATGCACTATAATCCTGTCCTGCGCATAAGTCTTTGTTAAAATCGGCCGCCGTTACCGATAATCGGTCTGGAAGACATTACATCATAATATCGCGATGCGACTTCGTTTAACGACCCTTAAGTAAAATGCCAACATCACATGACCGTAGGTCGAGTTACCAATCGTTAAAAGTGGTATATTGCATCTGCTGGACCCTTTATATTGTTTGTTTATATCAATCATTTTAACGGTAAAGTATAATGTTTTCATATAAAAATATATTGATGTTTAGCGTTTTACAGAGATTTTTCAGACAATGAAATAGGTAAACTGCTTAGAATGAAAACTTGACGATTTCAAAAAGAAAGAACTTTTATTTTCTTCGAACATTCAAAGGTTAACCCGTCCAGCCATCCTGCCGGCAACAGCATATGCCTACGACAGCAACGTGGCTTGTTATTAACTTTTTTAACGATTGTGTTAATTAGCGCACTTTACCCTCGAGCATCGTGCTGTGGGATAAAAAACGCAAAACAATATGTTCTTCTATTAATTAAACAGATAGTTTACATCTGCAACATTATAAACTGGGTTATCTACACTACTATTATAAAGAGGAAAGATTTGTTTGTTTGAATTGAATTGAATAGGCTCCGAAACTACTGGACCGATTTGAAAAATTCTTTCACCATTAGAATCCTACATTATCCCTGATGAACATAGGCTATATCCCTTTCAGACCGGCGCCAAAACTAGACAGAATTCGTCCGGAAAAAAGTCACACCTACCATAAAATGAGCTGCTAATTGCAAATCTGAGGTCGCTTTTCCATTTTCCGGCCTCCATCTTGGAAAATTGTAGCCCACACAATTGTATGATTAGGGGCCTAAGATGGCAAACCCACAATCATGAAATCGCACAATTGGATCGAAACGGGCCAAAGCTTACAATATGTTTGAAATAAAACAATAATTGTCGAATATATTGTTTATTACCTAAAAATCAACATAATTTCAAATTTAAACATGCACAATCAATAAGTATTCATAGAAAATTAGTTAACAATTACCTCTTGTCAGCACTAATCAGTCTCTAAAGTGTAGATTCAGTCTTAAAGTAATTATAAATGAGATCAGTCAAGTAAAACCTTAGTTATGGAAGTCATAAAAGCAATTTCTGACCTTTGTGAGGCACAGATAAACATCACATTTAGAACATCGACAACGTGTTCTACTGGTACACTTTATAGCGCGGCAGACTCGAGGCTCTTTCAAGGTATCCATGACTGGCCAGTGATTATAACAATCTCTTTGCTTGTCAACGGATGGTAAAGGCTTTGGACGATATCTTGAAGAGCTGGGCATTTCTGCAAACTCTGGTTCTCGATTATCTCCAGCAGCCCTTGGTGAACCTGCTAAAAGGTATTCACTTACACTTAGGCGAAAAGCCAGGGGGTCTAGGATGTCCTTAGTCTTCATTTTGTTTGCCCTGCAATCTTGTCTATACTCCATCCAAGAGTTGACTATGGACAGCTCAAACAAATGTAGGATAACCTTAACTGTCCATTTTCTTGATTTAATCCAAGTTCGATAGTTTTCCATTATCTGGTCACAGGTGTCCACTCCTCCCATAAAAGCGTTGTAATTTTTTACAACAGCTGGACAGGAAACCTCGATGTATTGCCTTGATTTCTTTTCCCACCTAGGAACAATGGATACGGGTTCACTACCAAAAGCTGTCGAAGTCATCAACACACCTTTATTGTCCTTCTATTTTAGAATACAGATCTTTTCATCAGCGCTCACAATCTCTTCGTATTCACCTCGTTTCATAGCCGCATCCTTTTTAAATTCATACTTTGAAATTTTTTTTGTATTGAAACGGTTCATCATCAAAGTTCCTGTTCCATCCATATTTCTTTTCTGGAGCTCCTTGCATCAATGGCAAAGATGATAAGTATCTATCAAAGTAAAGAAAACTTCCTTCTGGTAGAGTGCTGTCTAGTCGTAAAACGACAGCAGGTCCCATCCCAAATTTTTCTGAATCAGGTAAATTTCGAAATCTAATACTTTCCCTGTGGAAGTAGTAACGACGAAATTTTTCAAGCCCTCGTGGCGGAGTTTATTTTTTACAACCACTTTTACCCCCGCGCACCTTCCTCCAAATGGAACCATCTGTTCATCAATTGAATAGTGAATATCTTCGCGGGGCAGCTGCAGACAACGATTACGTACGGAGTCAATAACAGGTTGAACTCTACATAGTTTGTTCTTTGCTTGCTCCACTTCTTTGTTCACGGCATGAACGTTTAGAACATGCAGGTTTACCCTGAGGAGAAAAAATCTATCTCTCGACATAGCACTTGCTATGGGGTCGAACTTATAACGCTGGTTCCAAAACAATTTGATTCTTGGATAACTAAAGCACCCCATTAAACCGTGGATGCCAAAAAACTTTTTGATTTCCCCAGAAGTACAAACGGGCTTCAACTGATGTCCAGTTTCAGTCATATAATACTGATTAATGGCTAGCGCAAACTGTTCCATTAATTCCAGCGTGAAGTAGCGTTCAAAGTATTACGCTGGAGTTAATACTGCGTGTAGTTTAGGGTCTGAGACCCCTGGTATCGGTTTACCATGAAATTTCTTCGTCTTCCATCGCAAATTTGAGAGTGGCACGGCTTCAACGCTGCTGCTTGAAGACTGAGACTCAGATGGGGAAAGAATACTAGTTTCTTGGCCTGGAAAAGGCATGTCCTGCTGCAATTGTACCGTGCCATTATTGTAAAAATCTGCAAAATAAATAAAACACCTCTTAGAGTCTAGGGTCGATAAGAGATAGCCTTCGGCCCCACTTCATACGATTGTGTCAAAAAAGTTCGGTAACTCATCACTGAAGCTTATTTACCAATTACAGTGTAAAAAATCACAAAAGTCGGTGAAAAAAACATTTAAGTGATGTTACGTGCAAAAAAACTTTACAAATAACTAAGAAATACTTATGTAATTCTACTTACATTCACCAAAGCCGGGACCGAAAAAAATCGCAGTACTAGGCAGGTCGCTGCCTGCTGGCCAACTGACCGACGCGCGAAATTCACACGCAAGGTAAAAGTTCGGCTAAGCCCGTTCGTATAGAATAAATAGTTTTTGAACAAAATTGAATCTAGTAAACCACACAATCATGTAGGGCCAGTTCTGAAAGGGATATAATATTTTCAAAAAAGTTAGAGATCCGTATGAAAACCTCGTCTATTAGTATAGCTTTCTAAGCTTAGGGTTATCTTTTACAAAATTCATATGAAAGACTATTTCATATCAAACTACTCTGGATAGGAATAGAATAAGGTAGTTAAATATTAGATATTAATTGTAATTTTTGTTGTTGCAGCAATTGTTCCGGTCGCAACAGGCGGCGGCGGCCGGCGGGCAGGCGGCAGCGGCGCAGCTGCAGCTACTGCAGCAACAGCAGCAACAGCAATTTCAACTGCAGCAGCAACTGGCTGCGCAGCAGGCTTTTACGCAGGCCCCCTATGTGATAAATGCCGGGCAAGAGGGCACGCCGTACGTGAGCGCACTGATAGCGGGCGTGCCGCCGTACTACGGCGTGGCGGCCCCGTGGGGCGTGTACCCCGGGCTAGTGGCGCAGCCCGCTCAGCAGCAGGCACAGCAGCCGCGCCGCCCGCTCACGCCGCAGCAGGGCGAGCAGCAGGTGAACGGGCAGGGTCAGTACGTAATCCCGTACTACGACCCCGGCTCGCTGGTGATGGGCGGGCGCAACGGCACGCCGCTGCGGCTGGTGTCGCCGGGCGGCGTGCTGGCGCCACGCCAGTACCCCGCCGCGCACGCCGCCACGCCCGCGGCGCCCGCGCCCGCGCAAACGCAGCCGCAGCAGCCGCAGCAAGGTGTGTACACGACACTCTCACTCACACTCACTGCACCACAAATTAAATCTTCCAATACTATAGAAGATCAAGAAACTTTTAAGTTTTTAATTCTATATAATATGAATAATTCTATTCATTATCCATATTTGTTTATAGAAGAAGCCCCGGTACTACAACTATCTAGATGATATCTAAAACGAAGTAGTTTCTAACTCATTACAATCAATTACTCCCATACTTTGCTTCTTAAAATAAAATTTCCACTTACCATTTTAGATTGATACCCAATTGAATTCATTTTAATAATTTTAAGATTAATGGTTTTATAAATTCTAATGTGGAATTTTTACTTCCACGTTTCTTCTAACACTACATACGATCATTTACCTCATATGACAGTGATGAATTCCTATCGATTGATTACGCCTTTGTTTGTTAGGTTCTCTTAATTCAATTTCTAAATGGGTATTATAATGTAACATGCTTTGTACTTATTTTCATCTGTGTTTAACTATACTAACACCGTTGTAGAAACCATATATTTTAATTGATAACTATAATTTATGGCTCATATATAAGATATGGAGAACCATTTGAACCCAACGCCGGTCTTTTTAATCACGTTTAACCCTAGAACTACAATATCTTATTTTATTTTCAAGAAACACAACATGGGTTACAGGTGACTCATAAGAAAAATACTATATTATATATTCTAAGTTTCTTTGAATATTTTAAGAACGTATGAAAAAATATTTAGTCAAAAACAACTTTAAAATTAAAAACATTGGGACAAATAAGTAACCTTTACTGAGCACATATATTTTTTGAAAATTTAGCACATCGCTCTCTAGCCTTCCTGTCTTTAACCCTAGGACATAAATAGTGCGTTTAGCGTGTATTTGAAGCTTATTGAGTTCAAACGAGCTGAGTACTTTTGCCTTCTTATGCTCGAGTATCGAGGCTACGTTCACGTTAGGCTGTTCTAATTGAAGACTTAGATTGGAGGTTTAGGCAATATATGAAGATATCTATTTTTACGCAAACATAAGTTTGATAAAGGGACATCATTATCATCATCCAATTCAGATGCAACGTCACCGTCATCTGAGTGTTCGGATATATGTTCAGTGCCCTGCAATATCTGACGCTTCGTTGTCCGAAATACTGGATTGGGCACCACCATATTCCCCCAAAATGTTCACTTTTTCATAACTTCTTGAAGACGTGACGTTGATTTCAGTGTAAGCGATACTCGAAAAATTAACGAAAATTAGATAATAATAATGTTTCAAAGTATCAGGTCAGTAATGACCCACGCTGTAATTAATCACAGCGTGGGTCATGGGTGATCCCAACAGGTAATTACTCGAAAATTGATAAGTGTACGCACTTCGCGAAACGTCACGGGATACAGACAGCTACATAGAGAAGGTACGGTACATGCACAGAATTCAAGGGCAATTTCTCACTAAAACTGATTTAAAAAATAAATACGTGTTGAAATTACCCACAACGACCCTATGTTGCATTTCCTAAATCCCTACTTCTTCTCTGTATTTTTGAACGATTTGATTTGGAGCAATTTGAGATGAGAGCAATTTTATAATTTTTAAGTTAAATTATCGTGAATATTTAACCCTAAAATTTGTATTGCCAAATTTTTATCAAAATGATTTTCTTAACTGTTACTGACACATGTTCGTAATTAGAGAATAGAAATGATAACCCTTATTGCAACAAGGCACCACCTCATTCGATAAAACATTTAAACGCCTTTCATACGTTATACATTACAGGTTTAGAGCTTTCGACCTTATTGTATTATGAGTGTTCATTCTCACAAGAAAATGAGTCCTATTTTAAAGTTTGCGACTGAGCAAGTGATCGTATGTTAATCAGACATGGTAATATTTTTATTACATTATAATAATGTCAATTTACCAAAACGAAACTGTAACTTAGCTCAATTTATAAAAAGTTTATAGACTAAACTAAAAGCTTATAGACTTATATGCTACATTTATGAAGAGCTGGATATAGAGAAGCTTTTTCTTATGTTTTAAATGTTTTACATAGTAGTAGTAGATACATGAATTTAATTGGACAAACGTCTAGAACAACAATGAGATTGGTTAACTCTAAGGGCAATCGTTGGCCGATGGGAATCACTCCGAAACTACGTTATGTATTTTCATTAAGATAATAGTTTGAAACCTAAAATGAGATAAATATAAAAAAGACATCGCCTTGTAATCAATACTGATATATTTACACATTTCAACTAAACCAAGATTCAATCGTCAAAACGAAGCCTAGGGTACCTAAATTTCCTCCAAAGCAATTTTACACAATCACACTGCTGCTACAATTAGGCTATACAATAGTATTTTTTTCCGTGTTGAACCCGCATCCCTCAGGACCGCAGTCAAAAACTTAGTCACTGCCGTAGCGAGTCATTTAACGTGCTCAGTTACTTAATGTGTACTTTGTATTCGAATTCGTAAGGGTTATAAATAAAAATGTGTCATATTTGTTTATGTTAAAACAAGAACAAAAACACCAAACAATAATGTGCGTATAATATATAATGAATAATTAGTTTGTATATATGTATATGAATTCACAGTAGATATAATATGTTGTTTGTTTTTTGTACAAAATCGTGTGGTAGTTACAACAGCTTTTAGTTTATAGTTTGTATTTTATAAGTTTCCGATATTTATTGACCTGTGTAACAGATTCAGTTTTGTATTGTATCGACGATAAGCATGCGTTTTAACAAGTTTTGTTTTAGCGGGTCATGCAACATCTATGTACATATCATTTTAATGTTTGAATATTTTATCGTCTTAACGCTATACTCTTTGGAATCGTAAACAATATCGCGTTACACCATTACTCCACATTTTTCTAGCATAGATTTTTAAATATAATGTTTATCATAACTATTTACCCTGTAAATAAGTTGTATAGCAGTACGTAATTAGGCTGACCAATTCAAGGTAGACTACTTTAAAATGCGATGATAAAACTTGAATCTATCAATGTTGTGTATTATCACTAATATAATTATTAATGTATTCGTCTACTATGTTCGCACTATAAGAATAGGATTACGTTAACTTTCTACTTCACTGTGTGATTATGTTTTATTGAATAAATATCAATTATTATTTTTTTAAATCATATAAATCCGCGAAAACAAAAATAGTCCATTGCCGAAATTATTTTGAGTAAATTTTAGCAAAATCCCATAAAATTAGTAATAATTTAAAAATATATATTAAATTGTATTTGCCTTGCGTTTATCTAAGGGCTTAAGCTCTTACCGAAAATTCCATAGTATGCGAGCAAGAAGATTGCTCATCCCCGCACTTGTTATTAAAATGGTTAATTGCCACACATCGTCATTTATATTGTTATGTAGTAAATTATTTTGGTCCTGTCCGCACCGCGCGATTTTTTTCTCGCAATGTAACATATAGAATCTTATAGCAGTAGTCGCACTGGCGGTGAAATAATCGCGCGGGAAAAAAATCTGTGATTTGATGCAAATTGAACGCGAAGCGGTGCGATTTATTTCCGCGCGAATATTTTGTGCAGTATAAAGTAAGTATGGCTATGTCCGCACTGCGGAATAAAATTCGCCCGTTTCGCGTCTGTATCCAGCTAAAATTATTTTAGTCCAATTCGTATCTTGATAGGTAATAGCCCAAGCAAAAAGTCGTAGTAAATTATCGAATGATTTTCTGTAATATCCGAAAAACTTTTTACTGTATTTTCGCAGCCTTTGATGTTTTATGTAGTAGAAAAATACTTTCATTGGTCTCAGGGCCGTAAATTAGTGAATCCAATGTTCATGACATCTTTTGATACGTCTATCACGCCGCCGCCGTAGTATCAGGTAAATTAAAAAAAATATCTGTTGTTCATTATTAGACGTGCGTTTCAGCGGGGAACTGAATCGTACGAAATTTTATTCGTAGTGCGTACTAGGTGTAATTCCTATCACGAAATATAATACGCCAGAATAAAAGTCGCGCGATGAAATATCGCAGTGCGGTCGGGGCCTTAAAGTGCTGATTTACTTCATGCTCGTTAGAGAAGTAAGATATCGCGAGGAAGTCTATATGCCTGCAAAATAAGGGCATATTAAGGGCATGTTTTCTGCCAAAGCGAACGGAATCGGCGCGATGGACTAACTGCTCTGCAACACAAATGAAAAGGAGTCCTGTGTCGATCGTGGGCATGTATTTAGAATATAACTGTTAATATTTTTTCATTGGTTATAAACTTGTAAGCCTATATCTTTGTCAGTGTCGGATATTAAGAAATTATCGTTTATAATATTTTGTTTAAAACAGTCGATGACGACAGTACATTAAGACACATAATATGAAAATCCACTTCAAACCAATTAGCGATAAAACGGGAGCAACTAGCTGATTTCCTCTTTGTATTGCAAATAAACAATTTATTTTATTTTTACAACAATTCTCCTGCGTTAAAATTTTCACTAAAACTACCAACTGCTAGTGGTTTGATCGAGCCTGGTTTGGGAGAGCCTGGAAACGTACAATCCTATTCTCAGAGTGCGCGCATATAGGTTATGACGTTCGTACCGCGTAGAGTTGTAGGAGTCGCGTGGCGCGTGTAGCGGAAGGCGGTAGATGTAGATAGCGTATGAGCAGGGCGCGGTGCGTCGTCGGTTGCAGGCGGCGCAGTGGGCGCAGTGGGCGCGGTGGGCGCTGTGGGCGCCGTGGGCGCGCGGCGCGACTCGCTGGAGTTCGGCGGCGGCGGGCCGGCGGCCGCGCTGCAGGAGTACGCGCGCAAGTGGGGGCCCTCGCCGCTGTCGCCGCCGCTCGCGCTCGGCCCCGTCGGCCTGCGCCCCGTGTCCGCCGCGCCCGGCGCCGAGACCGCCAAGTACAGGTACCTGCCCTACTCCTCACCGCACCACCACACCACCACACCACCACACCACCACACCACATCTCACAAACTTTGTTTATACATTTTACTGCATTTTCTTTTTAAGGAGTATAATTTCACACGCAACATACATAACACGATATCTTCCATAGTTTTTTTTAATCTGAGGATTGTTTTATGAAGTCCATTTTAAATTTCGACGAATTCCAATAGGAGTTGAAATAGATTTCATAATTGATCAACCTTACACCCATCTAACCCATCAGAAGTCCACTACTGAATCTGAATATAGGCTTCTCACAAAGAATGCTAAAATACATGGTCCTATGTCACTTACTGCATCCATTGAATTCCTGCATCTCTTAACAAGTCGTCAGTTCATCTAATAGAAGGCCAACCTACTGTCTACTGGCTGTCATTCGAGAACCTTTATTCCCCGCCCATTGACGGTTCTTCGAACTGTATTATGGCCGACGTATTGCCGCTTTAACTTACTGATTCTATTGGCTATGTCGATTACTATCGTCTCCTGCTGGTTTCGTTGATTCGTTCTGGCAAACATATCTTTGATAAAGACTGGGAGTCTTGGTTCCGCTTACTCTTCGTCTTAAAACTCTGAAATTAAATGTGAAATAAGATTAACTCCGTTAGCATAAAAAGTTTTCAAGAATAGTTTGTCATATATGTCGTTCACTGATTTGCAAACTTCTAGGCAGTGTCGGCTTAGATTGTTTCAATTATCTTTTAATCAAGTACATGATTTTTCATTCACACTGACATAAGAAGAAATGCGGGCGGCATTTAGTCCATACAAACATTCCTCTCTTTTCTTCCTCGATAATGGCACTACAACTAATACTTCTATCATACAATCGAATTCTACGACCGCCATGTCCCTATGTTTTGTTTTTAGAATTAGATACCATCTAAAATTAAGAAAAACTTACCCGTTGTACCATCATTATCAATATAAGAAAATAAAATAAAAACATAGCGACATACCTAAAGTCCTCCTTATACTTAAAAAAAAAATAGGTCCAGCTTTGGAGTGGGAAACAGGTAAATACAAGATGTTGATTTCGTCTCTTTTTACAAAGGTTATACCTAGTAGTCAGTAGTCAGTCCGAGGTGCAGTTGTTTCTCTCGCGCTTTATATTCGGAGGTTTGGGGCATAGCGCAACAGCAATAGCTTTGTTAAAACCTATTCTTTAATTGTCTCGCCATCCGCGTCTTTTCTCACAATAACAATTTAAAACGCTATATAAATTACAGTAAATAAATTCATTTAATCTACCAACTTCAATTTATATTAAAGGTTACACACATAATATATACAGTGGCTAATTATATGACATTATCATTCCACTAAGAAAAATATTCATTAGTTGAACGTCGTTTATAGTAATCATTAGTTATTTAATTTAAATATGTTATAAATTATTCACAGCTCTATCTATGCGGATATTTTTATAAGTCAGTTCTTGAGAACAGTTCTTCAGAAACTTGAATTTAAATATTTTTATGTTATCCGGTTTTCCTGGAAGTATACGACCTTTACACATACAATTTATGCTGCAGTGCTCAAAATCACAACAGCAGAGACGGCATTATTTAAAAGACGCGCCTCACGTAATAGGAGAACTTTAGTTCAACTCGATTTATTGGACAAACAATCGTATTATTGGGTCACAAATCGCAAATATGTTCATTTATAATAAAACCATTAAAAAGTGAAGCGAGCAGGTTGATAGTGTTACTACTGAAGCTAACTTAACCCAGTAATGCCCGAATTTTTTTATTTTTTAAAGTTTGGATAATATATAATATTGTTCAATGATGGGTTCTTATCAACTTATTAGAAGTTGAAGAAAATTCACGTGTCCAAATGGACACACTAAGCGCTTACAAATAGCTAAGGATTTGAGAAATTTATCTTGAATTAGTTACATAAAAAGAAAAAAAAAACATTATAACGGTAGGTGTTTATTACTACTGGTGATACATTGCAAAACATGGTATATATAGGCCAACGTCATATTTCATACATTCTGTTCTTACAGAAGAACTCTTTGGTTTGCAGTATGGGCCGACACATCTTTTTTTTTTACACACTTTCGAACGTAATGATTTATGCTGTCAAACCGCGCTGTATCAGGCAGTTTGGACGTAGAAGGTCTGCCTGCACCTTTAACAGCTATGCCATAAGTTTTTAGGTAGGTTTTCTTTCTCTGAAGTTGCCAAGCATTATGCACGCATGCATCTAGCATCCTAGTAAATAGCGACCAGTATCACTTCTTTCCTCTGATGTGTATTCTCTACATGTTTATATTTTCATTCATCCTGTCAACTCCACCCATATATTTATTATAGTCACCCAGAAGAAATGGTCGTGGCACTTGAACAGATGCTGCCTTTTCTTTTTGGGAATACCGTTTCGCGGTAGTCAGCGATTGCACGCCCAAATTGTTAGATGCGATGGAAACGATTGAATTATCCATCCATTTTGCTACAAGGACACCATCTTCTTTGCTAATCGCAGATTCATAATAACCTCTTGGCTTTTTCTTCAACATTTTATTCGAAGTCAATTTTTGACACTTCTGCAGGCGGAATTCCGGCAATGTGCCTGTAGCTCCATATCCTTGCTGTCTAAAGTAGTTCAGAAGATACAAGCTTGTAAAAAGATTGTCAAAGAAAAAATGATAAGGCATTTTCTTTATTTCATCGGTAAACTCGACCATAAATGTTAGAAGAGGAGCAGCACATTTTCCAAAATGCTGTTCATAAATTGGATAGGCATTTGGAAAATGAAATCAAAATTTATCAGCATCAGCATTTATTAAGAGCGTCTCTGTAAGTTTTGTATCGTTGCTCAAACCTTACCTCCGCACCAGCTGTTAACTGCCGAGCATTCAAGTTCTCGGCTCTTCCACCACTATCTTCGTCACATGAATCCTCGTCCGTCAAAATAGCTGGATCAGGAGGAGCTATAAAAATTGATTCTGGTATCGAAGATTCACCAAATTGGTTGAAACCGAAAAATCTGAAAATAATACATTACTTTTTGTAATGCAATGCTTAGTGCTTAGCGTGTCCTTATGGACACAGCAACTTCAGGGTTATAAAAATAATTAAAAATGATACCTTATTTATAAAAAAAAAATATTATGCTAAATCAAATCTAAGCAATATTTTACTATTTTGTAGACATAACTCAATTACGTCGTAGTAATTTAGCACAAAAATAACATAAATAAAACCAATATTTTGAATATACGAGGGCGGCACTGAAAATTTCGGGAATCAAGGAAGTGACACAACATTGTATTTATTGCTTTTCGAAGTATTCTCCGCGAAATTTGACACATTTTTCCATACGATGGAACCAATCATTGAAGCAACCATTCCATTCGGAAGTTGGGGTCTCCAAAATGGCTATTTTGTAGGCGTCCACAGCTTCTTCAGGTGATGAAAATCTCTGTCCACGCAATTTATTCCTTATTTTAGGGAAAGTATAGAAATTAGTAGGGCTTAGGTCGGGGCTGTACGGCGGATGGTCTAATAATTCTATGTTTTCTTGCTCTAAAAACTCTTTTGTTCTGTGTGCAGTGTGAGAACTCGCATAGTCGTGATGGAGGATGATGCTCTTCACAGAGCGAATGCAGTATCCATCGGGAAAACAACTTTTTTACACTTAATTGTTCATGCAAGATTATTTATATTTGACTCATGCCAATGTCTAAAGTTGCCTGAATTTCGCGGTATGTCACATGTCGATCTTCCTCAATCAGCTTACGCACAGCATCAACGTATTCTTGGGTAACTGTAGTTTTTGGGACGACCTTGACGGGGATCATCACTGTGCTTGACACGTCCACGTTGAAATTCAGCAAACCAACGATAAATTGTGGTTTTGGATGGGGCTTCATCACCAAATGCAGAAATCATCCGGTCAACACACTGTTTTTGTGTTAAACCACTTCGAAAGTCATAATAAATCATCGCTCTTGAATTTTCTCGAGTCAATTCCATTTTCTCAACGACTAAACAAGTTTGACAAAACCTTGTGACAAGACCGAGAATCTTTTTTTAAATAGATAAATGGTATTCGATTTTTAAAACCAAGGACTTTTCAATTAAAAAAAAATAATATGACAGGAACAGTGGAAATATTCCATTCCCGATACTTTTAGTGCAGCCCTCGTAATATTACTTACTCTCTTCTCGGGTCCACAGTAACTGAGATTAGCGGAAATTAAATGATTAAATTCGCGAATTAACACTATATTATGACAGTGACAGTGACATGTAATGAAAATTTGACATTTAGTGGTATAGTATAAATAATGAAATGTTTAAAATTAAATAAAGTGTAGCCATATTAAGCATTTAAATTTACCCATATTTTGTGTCCATATGGTCATACTAGGCATTACAGGGTCTCCTGACTTGTAAACTCCATAAATACTTCTTGAATAAGCTTAAACAGTCAGGACTCTCCCAGTTCTCAGAGATTCACCCGATATGTTAAGATTCTGTTCAATGTGATCCATGCAGTCTGCATTTGCGTATCAACAATATTTTACGTCCTAAACGGGCCGGTATTGCACTACACCACACGGTATTACATTTTATTTAAGCAACAGTTTTGTTTTGTGTTAACTATCCTTAATATGTAAAAACACCCAAAAATATATTAAGTACAACTACATACAAAAAGTTTACTTGACATCATTTTTTGTTGTGTTATAATCTTTAAATAAAAATAATTAAGTATCCTTTTAAAATAGAGTATCCATGCAGATTGCAGTTTGCCCTCGGCCTTTGTTATAGCTTTGTTCCATAACCACTACACATATTTAAATATTATTAGCAGAAATGTTGCATTATGTAATGCAAAGTACCTAAAATTAATAGAGATTTTTAAAGTTACTTTAGCAGTATTAAGTGTCTAGTCTATTAAAATGTCGGAGAATTTATCTAGATTGTTTAGTTTTTGTCTTTTTGGTAAGTAAAATCAATGGACCAATGTATGAAACATTGGTCCATTGATTTTATATTTATTTCTTAAATATTAAGTCGAACATAATTGATGTGAGTGGTTTACATACAAAATATCCTTGAACTTTACTTTGACCCTGCTTTTGACCTTAACCGCCGATTTCTTTATGATCTTATCCACTATGCAAATACTCAATGACACACCTCCTAAGCTAATAACGTTTGGTGTTCCGAAATAATGTTGTTTTTTACATTAGTAAAAAAAGCAGAACTTAAGAGGGATATTATATTATGTAGATAAGAGCCAGCCTTGTAGCATTGTATATAAGCTTTCTATACATCGTCTGTGTTTAAAAATTTCGAATGACTTGTACAGTATAAATTTTAGATCAGAGCATGCTTCATTATTAATTATTCTGATACAGTTTCAGCGACTGCGCGACGAATCCGTGGAATATTACGTGCATGTTCTAGATTTGAACGGTTGTTTGTTTACATTACAGAGCCGTCAGCAGTTTAGCGCAAGGACTAACATCCAATGGAATGTTCGGCTCGTCATCGTCGCTGCTGAGCAAGCTCAGTGGAGTCGGCACCATCTCAGGTTGGTACGATCTAGGGTCGCTGTGTTTATTATCGCTGCCATTGGCTTCTAACTTGTCGTCGTCACCTGCCACCTTGTACCGTGTGCCGCGTTCAGTGAGATCCGCCAGAAGCAATGATGTAAATATACCTACCTAACATACCTACTGGAAATATATAAACTTAAGAGACTTTTTTTAACATTATGATATAACCCTTATAAAACATCCCCTTATATTATAAACTGTACAATCACGCACACACACACACATACACACACACATACACACATGCACGCACGCACACACACACACACACACACACACACACACACACACACACATACACACATACGCGTGCGCGCGCGCGCGTGCGCACGAATGCAAGAATTATTAACTGATTAATTAATAATTATGAAAGTTCACAACCATACCATGTTAAATTCCAATGATAGATGAGTAAATGAAAGAGGTGATTGGGGAACTCGAAATTCTCATAACACCCGTGTAACATCTCAGGGAAGAAGGAGTGCCTGAAAACCAGCGCTTCATGGGATCTAGTTCCATGTGAGCAAAAGCTGAGTCACCTCCGTTTGCCTAAATTAAATTAAGGTTAAATAATTAGTTTATATGTAAACATGTGTTTAAAAGTGGCAATAAAATGATATTTATTTATTTATTTATTTATTTACAAAATGCCTTATCGCGGTCCTGTATAATATTCATTATTTTGTATATAATATGTATATAAAACTCTTTAATAATTTGTGTATAACACAATAATATCATGCTAAGTATAATTTGACAGATTATTCTTAATATTTTAGACATACAGGTTTTCACACCCTTTTACGTATACCGTACGTGGATAAGCGATTGCAGTAACAGATACAGACCTTTTAGCGCCGACGGTGCGTTACGCCTCATAATGCCACCGTTAATACGTTAATATTAAGGCAAATATTCTTTAAAAAAAACACCTCTATAGGTTCAGGTAAACAGGTCCAGCGGTGGAGTTTCACGGGCTGATGAAGTTAAGCTTGGTTATCATTGGTAATTGAAATGAAATGATTTAACGTCACAGCGTTCGGAAACTTACAATTAATGTATATTTATTTTAATAATTGTCATTGTGGGGTCGTCAAACCGAAAACCCGAGAGAGTGGGTACATGAGTATTTTGTTGCATGTTGTGCAAAGTAACATATGATTTGTTTTACCAGAACTGGTGGGCGGCGGGGTGGGCGGGGTGGGCGGGGTGGGCGTGGGCGGCGTGTCGGTGGGCGCGCTGGCGGGCGACAAGCCGGCCGCCGGCCGCTCGCGCCTGCTCGAGGACTTCCGCAACAACCGCTTCCCCAACCTGCAGCTGCGCGACCTCGCCAACCACATCGTCGAGTTCTCGCAGGACCAGCACGGCTCCAGGTATTCTAACATCCATGTGTAACGCTAATGCAATACAGTCGCAGATAACAACTAGCCATAACTCTACTTTGTACCCTTAATTATTTAAACTAGGAAGGAGAAGGAAAACCATGTAACTTTCCACAGAAAAGTTAGTGGCTCCAAGTCCACAAGAGAAAAACTGCAACACCGTCTAGCAGTGCTTCATTCAGCAGGGTAGGCTTGTGCTCTCTGAGCGTTCTAATATTTCTAGAAGTTCAAAAAATATTTTCGCTAATCTATTTACTTAAGTATTAATTGAGAAATGAAATGCACATTAGAATAGAAATAGAATTCCGATATAAAGTAGGTCAAAGGTAAATCTGTTCTATAGTGGTAGTTTCATTTGTCATCTTACTTATTTTAATACAATAAGGTGACATACGTGCACACACCTGATAGTAAGGGGATGCTGTGGCGCCTATACACATCTACATTTATCCTCGATTAAGAATCAAAATGCAGATGTGCAGTCACCCTTGAAGATTGAGATGAAATCCCTCGTTTCCAGTAAAAAGTGTCTGATTCTCTACATTTACCACACGAAACAGCAGCATTAAAATGCTAATTTACGTTGGTATTCTGTGGTAACCCCGATCGAACAGACCCATTCGTGCTACAACCGTAATATGTTCATGCTTTTAAGTAATAGAATATATTATTATAGTTATGTTAACATAGATAAAGTCAGCACTTATGCTAAAACACAAATTATTAGTTTTGAAAATACATATATATTATGAAAATCTTTTGTTACCATGCTTGGGCTTGATCTTACCGCCGATCGCGTAAGTGCTGCATTAGGTACGGAAAGGATAGTATGAGTAAGCACACCGTTTGACAGTAACTTTTGCGCGCTTCCGATAATATTCGGAAGTTGTCAGACAAACATGATTTCGTCACCGCATCTCGCAGTGCAGCGTCTAACGGCTTACTCGAAACACTGACGTAACATCGCTCGCTTCTATAACGTGATAATGGCGCGGCGTTGCTAGACGACGTGGCTCCAACTGGAGTAAGCAAATCGGTGCTGCGTCACATTATGATGATGCAATGGTGTTTCTTAGGAATAATGTTACTCGACGTTGAGTCGGCTTAAAATAAAAAACGGTCAGCGTTATGACTTGAACATAGTTGTTACGCCATTTCATGCACTCATTCAAAGTAAGTCGTGAGGGACGCCTTATGCCTCACAAATTTTAGTTGTTAAAATTTGGTTAACTTACTAACGGAATTAAAAATTAGAACACCAACTATGAATATCGTTTTATATTAACGAAATTCTTAAGATTTAAAAGGCTTGACGATTTAAACAAAATTAAAACATCAGTTCTGTTAGGGTTTTATGGAACTCAAGGAAATATATCTTATAGAAAACACACTATTCACATTATAATATTGAATTGTGGGGTGATTAAATTATCGGCACTACCTATAAATCAGAATGTTACTACCGCACAAAACAATACAAACAATGTGCTATTGTTAACTTACTATAAAAAAAGCACTCGACGTATATCTTTCCCAAGCATTTCGTTTTATTTACGAGGAAAATTACGTTATAAATATTTCGACTGACACCAAAAAGCTTTGGTATGAAATTATACGCCATGAGAATGTTCTACTGGATATCACGTTAAATACTATGGAAAAATATGTATTACCCGTGCGGTTAAAGAATGGGATTGAAAATGGCGTCGCCTGTATTCATCTCTCGCTCGCACATTGCCGGTAAAGACTGCAAAAAAATATATTGCTATATGCGTTTTTCGTACGTCCTATAACTTCAACTTTTCATTGTAATGATAATTATCTTTTCAATGAAAGTCCAACTTTTCATTGAAATGATAATGAAATACCATAAAGTACCAAAAAAGAAATAGTCCAGTTTCGCTAATTTGTGAGCTAGGGTCGAGTTCTGAGAGTTTTCTTCATAATTATTGTTGATTTTGTTAGTTAATATTTTTGTATAAAATATTAACATGGCATTGAGACAGGAGTAACTATTTTTAAAATTTCGTTTGTCTATCCGAGCCAATCTTCGCAATGGCTAAACCCTCACATCAATAAAACTTCACCAACAAATAATCTAGACGAAATTTTATCTGAAAAAATTGGAGATTTTATTGAAATAGAAATATTGATAAGATAAAATAAACGGTCTTTAATTATTATTTATCTAAGGTCTAAATAACGTCACATAATTAGATTCCACCCAAAGGCTTAGCCAGAGCGGGGTAGCTAGTTATAAATATTATTTTAAAATTAATGTACCTACTTTAATTTCAAATATTTTCCTATAGAAAATTTCCAATTAACCGAAAAATATAAAGCTATAACAATATACTTACATCGTTATAGCTTTACATTTTTTATTGATGATATTGATAGCGGGATTACGCTATTGGTATGCTATGCTTATATGCATGCTGACGATACGGGCTCGATGAGCTGTCATTTCTAATCCCATTCTTTATCCGTACGGACTGTATATACATTATTAAAACAACACCAAAAATAGTCTATTGCATAATATTGAATGTGTTTTGATATATTTACAATACTGCGAACAAGATATTTTGCAATCCTAAAGTGTTTGTTAGCGGTTCGGTCTTTATTTCGGGTATAGAACAGTTAAACAAGTTGACTGTTCTGTAAATTATCAGATGTAATCCACTTTTACGTAACCCCCGAGATGAGCGAACCCAGTGCCCGTGGCGTAGCATCCATGTACTCTGATCATTAAGCCACGCGGACGTCAATATATGTTATAATATTTATAATATGGCTAAACACAAATAGTTCACACATGGAAATTTGTTGCAGGTTTATACAACAAAAATTAGAAAGAGCGACAGTTCAAGAAAAGCAAATGGTATTTAATGAAATAATTGGCGCAGCGTACAATCTTATGACAGATGTATTTGGGAATTACGTTATACAGAAGTTCTTTGAGTTTGGGACAGCTGAACAAAAAACGACATTGGCACAGAAGGTAAATTATAAAATTCTTTAAAAAAAGCTGGAGGTCATTGTGTTTGGCCTAAAGTTTTTTGTTTTTATTTGTGGTGATTTTTTTTATATAATTAGGGTGACAAACGAGCACACAGTCCACCTGATGGTAAGTAGTTGCTGTGGCCCATAGACATCTACATTTATCCTCGATTACGAATCAAAATGCAGATGCGTTGTCACCCGTGAAGACTAAGATGCAATGCCTCGTTTCCAGTAAAAAGGGTCTCCTGTTCTCTATACTCACCATACGAAACAGCAGCATTAAATTGCTACTTTACACTGGTATTCTGTGAGAGCGTGATCCTTCCCCGGTCGAGCTGACCCATTCGTACTACATCTATACTATTAATATAGCTACAGCATTGCTCTACCACGTAAAAAATTGAATATCAAATCACGTAAAGAAAAATGAGTATCAATAAAACATAGGAAATTTTACAGGTCCGTGGGCATGTTTTGGCATTGGCGTTACAAATGTATGGCTGTCGGGTAATACAAAAAGCACTAGAATCTATCCCAGCCGAACAACAACAAGAGGTAGTTCGAGAACTAGATGGGCATGTATTAAAATGTGTGAAAGATCAAAATGGAAATCATGTGGTAAGTTTTATACATTTTGTATAAATAACATTTGGTGTAGTATTTTTTTTATAGGATAAGTGTGACAAACGAGCACACAGTCCACCTGATGGTAAGTGGTTGCTGCGGCCCATAGACATCTACATCTATCCTCGTTTGCGAATCAAAATGCAGATGCGTTGTCACCCGTGAGGACTAAGATGGAATGCCTTATTTCCAGTAAAAAGGGCCTCCGGCCACCTGCACTCGCCAAGCGAAACGCAGAGGTAAACCTCTACTTCACGCTGGTATTCTGTGAGGTCGTGGTACCACCCCGGTTCGAGCCGGCCCATCCGTGCGACAGCAAAAGCTGCCGCGTGACTCTACCACTGTTTAAATAATATAATGTATTTCTAAATTATATTACATCATTTTTAGGATACTATTAGTAGGACGACTATTAAATTTAAGTTTTCACTGTAAAAATACAATCATTCGTGGTAACATAAATTTTTTAAAATTAAAAACATTTTTTTTATTAAAATTACTTAAAAGAATGAAATAATACCACATTCTGGAGTTAAGGTTTAATTCTTCTACACACTATGGTATTTAGAAACGATTGATTCAAGTCTGCTTTTAATTTTTGTTAAAAGTAAGTTCTTTTACCACTTTGAGTGGAGTAAGGAATATCACAATTGCAATGTTGTCTGATGAATAGTTAAATATTAAGTTTTTCTCCAAATGTATATGAGACCACATCTGAAGTATAACCTATTTAATTTAAAAAAAAAATCTTCGAAATTGACTTTCAATTGGCGATGATATTGCGTAACATACATACAAAAGAAAACCATACAATCGAATTGTAAAACCTATTCTTTTTTAAGTCTACTAAGAATACAGTGTGATTGGAAGGTATATTTGATAGTGATTGAGTTGGTGTGGTTGTGCGCAGGTGCAGAAGTGCATCGAGTGCGTGGAGCCCGGGGCGCTGCAGTTCATCATCAACGCGTTCGCGGGGCAGGTGTACGCGCTGTCCACGCACCCGTACGGCTGCCGCGTCATCCAGCGCATCCTGGAGCACTGCACGCCCGACCAGACGGCGCCCGTGCTCGCCGAGCTGCACGCGCACACCGACCAGCTCATACAGGTCATACGCCACCTCATGCACCGAGTGCACACAATACCGCACATCCAGCGCATCCTGGAGCACTGCACGCCCGACCAGACGGCGCCCGTGCTCGCCGAGCTGCACGCGCACACCGACCAGCTCATACAGGTCATACGCCACCTCATGCACCGAGTGCACACAATACCGCACATCCAGCGCATCCTGGAGCACTGCACGCCCGACCAGACGGCGCCCGTGCTCGCCGAGCTGCACGCGCACACCGACCAGCTCATACAGGTCATACGCCACCTCATGCACCGAGTGCACACAATACCGCACATCCAGCGCATCCTGGAGCACTGCACGCCCGACCAGACGGCGCCCGTGCTCGCCGAGCTGCACGCGCACACCGACCAGCTCATACAGGTCATACGCCACCTCATGCACCGAGTGCACACAATACCGCACATCCAGCGCATCCTGGAGCACTGCACGCCCGACCAGACGGCGCCCGTGCTCGCCGAGCTGCACGCGCACACCGACCAGCTCATACAGGTCATACGCCACCTCATGCACCGAGTGCACACAATACCGCACATCCAGCGCATCCTGGAGCACTGCACGCCCGACCAGACGGCGCCCGTGCTCGCCGAGCTGCACGCGCACACCGACCAGCTCATACAGGTCATACGCCACCTCATGCACCGAGTGCACACAATATTGCTCATTCCATAAAACTAGCATCGTGCATATAAACCTCGCGACCATCAGCTAAAAAATATCTAAAATTCAAAATAAATGAAGTTTATTACGTTATACAAAAAAGCAATTACTATTGTAAAGTTAAATACAAAAGTCAACTTATAAGTCTCAAAGAACCAAATCAACATTTCTTTGCCTTCAGTTTTTAGTAATTGTAAGTGCTATTTTTTGCTTCTCATACGTCAGTCTTTGGGCATAGAATTTTACAATTAATGGTTTAAATGAATTTTTACGTCTTATGAGTTTTTTAGGTAGCTCTGTATTCAATTTCATGCCAAGGTAGAAACACAATTATTTACCAGGGTGGTTCTGCTGTTACGAGGGCAGCACTGGAAATATCGGGAATCAAGGAAGTGACACAACATTACTATTTAAAAATGTATCTATTGCTTTTCGAAGTATTCTCCGCGAAATTTGACACATTTTTCCATACGATGGAAGCAATCATTGAAACAACCATTCCATTCGGAAGTTGGGGTCTCCAAAATGGCCGTTTTGTAGGCGTCCACAGCTTCTTCAGGTGATGAAAATCTCTGTTCACGCAATTTATTCTTTATTTTAGGGAAAGTATAGAAATCATTAGGGCTTAGGTCGGGGCTGTACGGCGGATGGTCTAATAATTCTATGTTTTCTTGCTCTAAAAACTCTTTTGTTCTGTGTGCGGTGTGAGAATTCGCATTGTCGTGATGATGATGCGGCGGTTGCAGTTCTCTTTACGGAGTTCAGAAACGACCTGTTGCAAACAAATGCTAGCATTCTGCATTAATCGTTATTTGCCCCTCAAGAGGAATAGTCGTAACATGGCCGGTTTTGGAGACAAACGTGGCCACCATTTTTTTTTGCAACACTCCGTGAACGAACAATTTTTGTTGGCTTTAACTCATTTTCGAACACCCAAACTCGTAACTGGTTTTTTGTTTCGGGTTCGTACGCGTATATCCAGGATTCGTCACCTGATACGATGTTGTATACAGCATTTGAGGATCCTGCGTGAAATCTTTCGAGAGTTCTGACGCACCAAGTAACGCGAGCCGCTTTTTGCTCTTCACAGAGCGAATGCGGTATCCATCGGGAAAACAACTTTTTTACACCTAATTGTTCATGCAACATTATTTGTATTTGACTCATGCCAATGTCTAAAGTTGCCTGAATTTCGCGGTATGTCACATGTCGATCTTCCTCAATCAGCTTACGCACAGCATCAACGTTTTCTTGGGTGACTGCAATTTTTGGACGACCTTGACGGGGATCATCACTGAGCTTGACACGTCCACGTTGAAATTCAGCAAACCAGCGATAAATTGTGGTTTTGGATGGGGCTTCATCACCAAATGCAGAAATCATCCGGTCAACACACTGTTTTTGTGTTAAACCACTTCGAAAGTCATAATAAATCATCGCTCTTGAATTTTCTCGAGTCAATTCCATTTTCTCAACGACTAAACAAGTTTGACAAAATCTTGTGACAAGACCGAGAATCTTTTTTTAAATAAATAAATGGTATTCGATTTTTAAAACCAAGGACTTTTCAATTAAAAAGATTTTAATATGACAGGAACAGTGGAAATATTCCATTCCCGACACTTTTAGTGCAGCCCTCGTATGTCAGATGGCTAAACGAAAACGAAAACAAAAATGAACAAATGTACTGTAGGCAGAAACATTATTATAAAAAAAAAAATTATATCCCAAGCCCAAGATGGAGATGAATAAGAATTACATGGTCAATGATTGCGTGCACGTCGACACTAATGTTGTAGCACAGGGGTGAGCAACCTTTTTAATCAATGGGCCAATTTTAATTTTAATTTTTTTTGGCGGGCCGCATATAGATCATTTAATTATTTATCATCATCATAATCATCATTACAGCCTTTCATAAGTCCACTGCTGAGCATAGGCCTCCCACAAGTAATGCCACAAAGCACGGTCCTAAGCCACCTACATCCATCGACTTCCTGCATGTCTTACCAGGTCGTCACTCCATCTCGTGGGGGGTCGCCCTACACTTCGCCTACCGGTACGAGGCTGCCACTCGAGAGCCTTTCTTCCCCATCGGTTGTCGGTTCTTCGAGCTATATGACCGGCCCACTGCCACCTCAGCTTACTAATCCGTTGGGCTATGTCGGTTACTCTGGTTCTACTGCGGATATACTCATTTCTAAGTTTATCATGCAGAGAAACTCCGAGCATAGGCCCTCTCAAAATTATTTAACAAATTAATAATTTAAGAAACTTTATTTACAATAAATATTGAAGAAGAAATTTGGCACTGTTTTTTCAATATAAGCTGATCAATATCAGCCGAAATGGATGAGGTAGGATGCTGCACGTACGCAGCTTTCTAATCGTCCAACACTTAGTCTTGATCGGTAGTCATTTTTGATTAATTTCATTGTTGCAAATAATAAAATAATACTTCCGAATAGAGAGATCATTTGTTTTGCATTTTTCGTCAATAGCGGAAATTTTTCAGGGCTCACATAAGATTTATAAAAATATTCAATGTTTTCTGAGAAAATTACAGTTTTTAAATCGGTATTATTCTACATGTCAATCACTTCTATTTGAAAGTCTTTGGGATCTGTATGCACATCGATACTAAATGGTGGGGAAAACATTTCCATGAAAATCGCTGTTTTCTCAGTTTTGAACATTTGGAATCGTAATTTTTTTTAATTGAATTTCGTTGATTAAAATGTCTATTTATTGAGCGTATTTTTGAGAAGTAACATTTTCTTTTTCTAAATGTAGAAAGTGAGACTCAATATTCTATAAAAGATGCTGAATTTATTCATACAAATTGTGAATAAACTGTCCTTTGCCTTGAAGTTCCACATTAAGATCATTGAGATGCTGAGTCATGTCGATAAGAAACCCAAAATCGCACATCCATTCTTTATTACCCAAATGAGGAAAGGCATATCCCTTCATATCCAAATACAATTTGCTAAAAAGTATTATACTCTTTTTAGCATTGCACCTCTACTAAGCCAACATACTTTGGTATTAAAAACCACGTCGCCATTATTCAGTTTCTAAATCTTTCAGGAATTCTTTAAATTGACGATGATTTAACGCGCGACATTTGGCATACTCAATCTTTTCGCACACAAATTTTCCTGGTGAATTATGCTGTGATTAACGAGTATATTCCTTCCTTCCTGTAACCTTCTTAATCTCTTGAAATAGCCTTCCCGATACTCCTACCTCCATGCTTGACATTGCTCGTGCTCCATCCGTCGATATACCAATAACCTTTTCTAATTAAATTGAAAAAATTTTCAACACATTTAGTTCATTGTACAGGTCTTTGCCGGTTCTAGTCCCTTGCATTGGAATCAGTGAACACAAATCGGTAATATTAAATTTAGTGTCTATACCACGTAAAAATATAGCCAGTTGTGCTGTATCGCTAATATCACAACTCTCATCGAGTGCCAAAGAACAGTATTCCATTTTTGAAATGCATTCACGAAGCGTTGTTGCTATGTTCTCGGACAAGTCTTCAATTCTCCTCGCAATTGTGAATTTTGATAAACTAATGTTTGAAATAATATTTATATAATCAGGAAGTGCTATTTTTGCAACAGCAGTCAGACATTCTTTTATCATCTCTCCATCTGCAAAGAGTTTAATTTTTATTGCCAGTATTTGACTGACAACAAAACTAGCCGTATTTGATAAAATAGCTTGATTTGCAAAAATAGTCTGTTGTTTTCCCAAAATTGTCTCTATTTGATTAAACTTATCTGTCCGGAGTTGTCCTGTTAAGTTTTTATATTGTTGTTCATGTATTGTATCATAATGCCTTTTTATGTTATATTCTTTTAATGTCAACACAGCCTCTGAGCATATTAAGCATACAGCTTTATCTTTAAAAAGAGTGAAAAAATAATCAAATTTCCACTTTTCTTGAAAATGCCTATGCTCATCCGCAATCTTCCGTTTTTTTGTTTACTTTTCTGAAATGCTATTGTGGATTAAAATTTGATAGTTAATAAATTTCCTATGAGAACTTAATTTTGAATAAAAAAATCTCTAATATTACCTTTTTCACAATAATATTGCACTCACGCCTTTCAAGAAACACGAGTAACTCGCCATAAAAACATTTCGGTTTAGTATGTACTACCATTTTGTTATAATTAATTTTATAACAATATATTGATGGAAGAAAGTCGATAAGATAAATTCAATTTTAGAAATGCTTGGCGGGCCGCATAATCATGTTTAACAGGCCGCAAGCGGCCCGCGGGCCGCGTGTTGCTCATCCTTGTTGTAGCACAACTGCATGCAATGGAACATTTTGAGTGCACAGATTTGTGTGCATAGATTCTAACTAGAGGTTATATGAGTACTTCTGTCTTAAGCTTATTCAGACATTATTTCACTTTAGCATTGGTGCGTAGTCTGCCGCTATTTTGTGACGTCATGGCTGTAAACTAAAGTTCGGTCGCCTTGCACGAAAAATTTCGTACAATGTACTTCATGCCCAAAATTAAAATTGTTGGTTCTTGAGTAGTTAATGCGTATCTAAATACCTTCCGATTTTATAGTGCAACGGTTGACTTAGTCTGACCTAGATTAAAAGTGACAAATCGAAGAGTCTCATTACTAAAACGTTTACCTATCTAGCATTTAGAAGAGAATTAAACAAATCTGCACTTTAAAATAAATATTTACTTTATAAAATTGTGTAATTTATAAAAAAAAATTACTACTTGAAACAGCGTATATCGTTTGCTCAGGTCCTAATTAGGCTGTAATGTTTCCTTTTTACAAACTATATTAATTATACTTATGTAACGTCGACTCTGGTCGCGTCATCACAAACCTTAGTGGTTTTCTGTATGCGACTTTTTAGTATAGTTTTTTTTTGTAATGCTTTGTAATATAGTAAATAAAATTAAAAAAAAATCTGTTTTCGGTATTTGAAGACCTGGCAGATGTTTCGCCCGTTACATTGATAAATCGATAGTTTTATATATTCAATTATCTAATTTTGACTTTTCTTTTTTGGCGTGACTTTTACCATTTTCACTCACAACAAACTTAACCTCAAAAAATATTTAACCAATAACCACATAAGTTTTAATCACGTGCGGTGACAGGGCTTTAGCTTCACACCCGTATATTTTGTTGCTGTGTAGTGGCACCATAAGAATATCTACTACCACATATTATTTTGAAAACTCAGAGGAAATGTATTACCTACTGTTTGTAACTTCGCTGTTTCTTACTCTTCAAACCGAACACAGCTGTAGGTGCACTGTTGCTTGGCAGCAGAAATAGTCAAGAGCATAGTACTTACCCAAACTGACTTCTAGATGGGTTCTTCTAGTTTCTTACCTTCTTACTAGTTTTTTAGCCAATATAAATTATTTTAAAAAGGAATAAACTAAGCATATCAACATGATAATTTTAGCGTCTGAGGCAAAATAATCCCATCCAAATTAGTTGAGCGACTGTGCTCAAGTTTTTATGCGGAATAGAATCAAGCGTTTCTTTAATATTCAGTCTGTTTAAGATATGAAAATTTATAAGCTTAGATTCGGTTGCTTATTAAAGCAGTGTGTACTACTTAATTTGAAAATAATTTCCTTACAACCCACTAAACCACAGGATCAACTTGTGTCATTTAAATAATTGGCGGTGGTGTGTTTCCTAGTGTATGAGGTAAAAAGGTGTTGGAGTTAGTAGTGGTAGAGGTGTGAATGTAAGCGGTTGTGGGAACCCTCAGACCAAAAAAGACAAGTACGTACATTTCAAGTGACTCGCAAATATGCTTAATTTCTTGACAGCATTCATGCACACATCTTTTGACTTTTTTCTTTATAAGCCAGTAAAAGTTTACTGTTCCTAATACAATGTTGTTGGTTGCAAACACAGATGTGTCGAATGTATGTATCCTTATCCCTATATTTTACTTTATAACGAATCTTTCATATTAACTTAAGGATTTTTTTTTTCAAAAAAGTATCAACTGAATTATAACCTGACTGAATATAAAAATGAAACATTTGTGTTATTTTATTCATACAACTCTAATTTGTGTATGTCGTATTTTGTACTATGAATAACTTTTATCTAATAAGATATAAGCTCTTCGTGAAATTTTAAAGATAGATAAAGTAGCAATGAAATATTATGTATTTCAAGTTATTACATTATAAAATTTTATAGACATATTTTTTTTATAAAATTGTAATTTTTTCGAAACTTAATATGTACACAGGATTATTTTTCAGAGTAGCCAAAATAAATTAAATTCAAATTATATAAAATAATTAGCTGACCAGGCAAACGCTGTTCTGCCCTTTCCGACGACCATTTGTTTTTCTAAAAAAAAAAAACAGGGTTGAGGGTCACTTATCGGGATAAAAACTATCCTATCTCTCAAGTTGGACCAAACTGCACACAGTGTGCAAAATTTCACAACGGACAAACAACGTGACACGTAATTTTTATATATAAAGATGATAGTGATACTGATGAGATGAGATACTGTTATTGTAGTTTTTGAGGAAACGAATAAATAAGGATTCTACTTTTATTTGAAATTATTCCAAATTGAATGCGATTTATGGGTAACAACGTTTGTTTACCGATCGACCCTTACAAATGTGTGCATGCGCAGTAAATGAGTTCAAATAATGCATTACCACGCATTTTGAATTTAAAATATAAAAAGGACAGAATGTTTGAGTTTTTTAAATTAATTTTTCTTCACTATTTGCCTATATACTGTATTTTAAATATCCTCTGCAAACTTGGCCGGTTGTTGCAAAATAACTCTGTATAACGTAATTTGCTCTATTTTATGGAACAATAAACTTAAAACAATAATACATGTAGTGCAAGTCAAAACATGTCGCAATATATCATTTACTTACGCAAAGTAGGACATTAGTCAACTATCGGTCCAAGGTCACACGCATCGCTGACTACGAACATACGAAGCTTGTACGAAAGTTGAGATCCGTATCCATATGTACATAACTATTTTGAATAAAACTGCTTTTGTTATTGTGTACATATAGTGAATTTTCTTAAATATATTGAGAGGTGAAACTTAATGTATTTACTTCTTTAAGTTATTCTCTAAAGTATTTTTTCCGACCTTGGTAAATTGCTCTTATGGCTCTTTTCTGCAAAATAAAGATAGTTTTAATGTTAGTCGTGTTGCTCCATAGTAAGATTTCATGTTATGCTATGGGAAGAACTAAAATAAACTAATGTAGGTGATTCAACACATGTAAGGCTTCTAATGTTTTCATAGCATTAAGGTGCGGTGCATATTGGTGTAGACTGTAGATGTATAATGTATATTGATGCGGGTGTGTGCGGTCGGTTGCGCAGGACCAGTACGGCAACTACGTGGTGCAGCACGTGCTGGAGCACGGCGCGGCCGAGGACCGCGCGCGCCTGGTGGCGGCCGTGCGCGGCAAGGTGCTGCAGCTGTCGCAGCACAAGTTCGCCTCCAACGTCGTCGAGAAGTGCGTCACGCACGCCACGCGCAACGAGCGCGCGCTGCTCATCGACGAGCTCTGCGGCTTCAACGACAAGTGCGTGCACACACACACACACACACACACACACACACACACACACACACACACACACACTATAAATCTCTTTTTAAAATACGACGATTATGTCAAACTTAACTCGACATTGCTTTAGTACTATTAGAAAACTAATAGATATCAATAATTCTAATAAAATGTTATTTGTAATTTAAGATTATTCATAGTTGGCACATCTAACATTAAAATTTCTATTTGCAGTGCTCTTCACGTGATGATGAAGGATCAATACGCTAATTATGTAGTGCAGAAGATGATCGACGTGGCGGAGCCGACGCAACGCAAAGTGTTAATGCACAAGATCCGACCGCACATCGGTTCGCTGCGCAAATACACGTACGGAAAACATATTATAGCCAAGTTGGAGAAGTTCTTTATGAAGGCGCCGGAACTGGGTCCTATCGGACCGCCGCCGCCTAATCCTGTCCTGTAGTATGTGTAAAGTATTAACGTCCGCGGAGTTAGCTGATGCGACGGCGCGGGTATCCCGCCTATTATAAATTTTGTGAATATTAACGATTGTACATTTGTAACTATAGAGGCCGCGGCCTCGCCGTCGCCGTGCCGCGCAGCCGCCTTCACAATCTGACTAGGTAGGTATATTAGTTTAGTGCGGTCCGAACTATGAGTATCGTAAGCTTGAGTTTGTTTTTGAGTTAATTAATTAGTGTTAGTCGAGGGCCGGGCTGCGGCGGCGCGGCCGCACGCCTGTACATACGTAGCGGCAGACTGATGTACAGAACGATACGATAACTGTAACTGTAACTGTAACCGTAACCATAGTTGTACAGCGTCGACGCCGACCGGTGCTCGGCCGTCGCGTCACCGCGACGTAGCGTTCCTTGCGTTCGTTGCGTTTCTAGCTCGTAAGTGTTCTAGTATTATTCGTTGTTCGTATGAATCTATGTATAAATATTTGAACGTCTCTCATTCTCGTGTAATTTATAAATCGAAGGAAAGCCGCGGTCCGACGCGACCGGGCGTTTCCGTAATTTAGCTCGTTGTAGATTTACTATTAGCTGGGCTAGGGGACCTTGAATCTTCCGAAGTGATGAAGAAATGCCGCAGGCAGTTCTGGACAATCGGCACTATAGTCGTGATTATAATAATGCTATTATTTTGTATTGTTCAAGTCGAGCTCTCGTTTAAGTTTTAAACCGGCTTTAAAATCGTACATAGTTTATCGAATATCGTTTAGCGCCGGTATGTATAGTTTGTCGTTTATAATTTGTGAAAATGATATTTTTGTATATTTTTATGTAACTAATTTAAGTTATTTAGTTGGAAGCTCCGAGAGGATCGGAGCGAGCGCTGATAGAGTGGGCGATGCTTATGTTGTAGTGTTAGGTTATAGTGATGATTGTAAAGTCCTGTACTGATAGTCGTAGTCCGAGGTCTACCTTGCCGGTTGCACGTCACAAGCGTAGCTGCTCCTCATTCCCCCTGTGTAATTATTTTTATAGGAAGCGTAGTTTCCTACGACACCTCAAATTTTTTACGTCTAGATATAATTGAAAATAAAATTATTGTATATGGCTGTACAAAAATGTTAACAAAATGATTTGTAAAACCTGTATGTGATGGAATAAGGCTGGGCGTCAAGAGCAGCGAGGTGTGACTGATCGCTGCTCCCGCCGTCCCGTCTTGTAGGTTGTACTAGATAACATTTATATGATGATCCATCTATTTAGACATTAATTAATAAAGCATTTCTGTAATAATATTACAAAGTACCCGTCTTTTATTTAATCCTTTAAACCACTTATCTTGAAATTTGTAATGAAAACTATGAAACTTATATTAAAAATATTAATATTGTAAACATTTTATATTAATATTAATAATTTTACTTCTTTTGGTTTGTATAATAAGAGAAAACTTGATCAGGCAAAACCTTGTAAATACTCTTGCCAATTTTGGGCTAATTATACCAATTATTTTAAAACTTAAATATAAGATTATTGCATGCCTTAAGCGAAAACGCAAGGTATGTTCTACTACTATAATCTAACAGTTATATTTTTAAAGATACCTTTAAAAAATATAACTGTTAGATCGCCAATTCAAGTGTTTGCGAAATACCATTTTGGGTTTATTAACGCGATAGCGACCGACTTCTAAGTCGTTAAAATGAGCTTTTGGTTTTTCCTGCATTATACCGAAATATGACAAAAATCTGTTATCACAAATCTGCATGCCGATCGTGGCGGTACTGCAGGTCCACCTTATTAGTGTCTGATAATAAAATATACTATATATCGTCGCCTTGGAGGCCAATGGAGCTAAGCCACAATTTTTGCGAAATGGACTTAAGTGCATTAACTTACCCAGAAAGAGCCACAGTTTATATTATTTACGATTTTTCTCCGCCAATTAAAATGTTCCAAATTAATATCGGGAATGGATAAAAAATGACAAATTACAATTATCTATAATACAGTATTATGATGTCATAATTGAGGTGGTCAAGAGTTCTATGAGCTCTTATAACTATTGACCAATGTTTAATTACTTTCTATGACTTTTTGTAACCTTATAATCGCAATAAATCTAAGCGGCGTAGAATTTTTGATTCTTATTGAAACTACACTTAAATTTATTGGCAATTTTTTAAAAAATAACCTGCTTACAGTTATGATCATTGTTACACGTATTGACTAATATAAACTGTGGCTCTCTTTGGGTACGTTAATGCACTTAAGTGCATTTCACAAAAATTGTGGCTTAGCTCCATTGGCCTCCAAGGCGACGATATAACTAAAATCTAAAGGCCTGCATTTTGGGAGATTGAGCTAAATAAATGTGATCTAAGACAAGCTGCAAGCGGCCGATCGCCATCAAGCAAGCCACAGCCACACGCTAGCTACTGGGCCGACAACTCAGAATGAAAACTAAAAATAAATCGCGCGGGCGCCGACTGAGCAGCAAGATAGCTGACATGATAATAATGTAATGCTGTTGTATTGTCATTTACAACAGTTACTGATTTTAGGCAAATCTATACAAATAAATAAAAATGAAGTGTGTTTGTAATGTCAAAATAACTAAAATAACTTTTTACTAAATGTATATGATATAATATGGTAATTATAACAAAACGGATTTTTGTGTGTCTGTTCCGGCCTATCTCTGAAATGACTGGGCCTATTTTGGCGGGACTTTGACTGGCAGGTAGCTGACTTTAGGAGGAGTATCTTAGGCTAGTTTTATTTTAGAAAAATATTTAGTTCAGCACAAAAAAAATCAAAATTCATGAATAATAAATTCCACGCGGATGCAGTCGCAGGGAACTTCTAGTACTAAATAAAGTTACATAATTATCTGAAATAAACTTCTAATCACGTTGAAATTGCGCACATAAATAATGATAGCTTTCCCGTACTCACTTTAAAAAAAAATGTAGTAGATTGTAGAAAACAATGTTTGCGGTTTACAAAACAAACAACTAGTAATCTCGTCCGCTCGTTATAGAGTCGATTAAAAGACTTGCGGAGAATTGATCGTAACTTAGTGTGTAATGTATTGAGACCACAGAAACCATCTAATAGTAAGTGTACATAGAAATATTTGCCACACGCTTTTTCTTTTGCGTCAAAATTGGATGAAATCAATAAGATTTCGAAATATTAATTTGGTAGAAGAACCCTTCTTCAAAGCTGGACTTACCTAGTGGTGATCATGACCTTTATGTTGTCCATTTTAACACCTATTCGTAGGGAGTCAATAACAGGAGAAGATACTCAATTCGACTGTTATGTTTTTTTTATGTTACCTCAACTTTTTGCAGGGTGGACTGTTTTCGATGATTCTTTTTTAATTGGAAAATTAGATTTTTCCTTTCCGATACCATCTACTTGAATAACAACGACGGATTTTCGGGCAATTAAGTCTACTTAATACCTTCCGGGATTTTGGTACAACTTCATAATACATGTCCCATTCTTGCTTTTTCGTTTCATGGACCATTTTACAAGTTACCTTTGAACATAATTATATCTAGGTACCTATCTACATCTATTATTCCATTATATTATACACATACAGGTGCAATGATTCATTCACTGCAAATGCAACTTTGTAATCCTATATAAATATATAGGATTACAGAGTATATTTATGCAGTTGGTGTATCTAGAAAACTGGACCGAAAATACAAAATATTTTAATTTTTCCTTGATTTATACACTAACCACTAATTATATTCTAAATATGAAGCTTCTACGTCTGCTAAAAGTGCCTTAGAGTTTTGATGATCGGTCAGTCAGTGAGTGACAAAATTAAGAAACTGACTAGTTATAATTCTTAAACTACTGGTTCAAATTGAATGAAATTTGAAATATGCCGTGTTTATACAATGCATGCTTGGTTACTGGAAATTCAGGCTTCTAATTTTATCCACAGTTATAGGGGGTCGAAAATGGCCTGAACAGCTTCGAAAAAAGGATTTATTACGATTGGGTTTTAATTTTTTTGTGCGGTACCCTGATTCTTATTCTGAAACTAGCTGTGCCCGCGGCGTAGCTCGCGAATATAGGTTTTACTTAAAGAATTTGACGTTTAGGGTAAGAGAATATTAAACGATTTATATCATTACTGTATGAATAAGTGGTAACAAAATAAATCGATATGCTCAGAGTTCTAAGTCGTTTATGATAGAGCTTCTGTGTAATCGACGATAGAAGTAGACTTAGCCGGGGCGTACAGAAAAAGGTTACGGGGACTACTAACGCGGGAAAAAGCAACATAGAGTTGGCCATGTGCAAAACAATCAGTACTGAGGTCCACTCCTGCAACGCGTAAAGTTTGACCTTGCGCTTTATTTACGATCGTCGCATAATACACGCTGAGTGGGAAACACTAAAAATAGGGATGTTAGATGATCATCGATGTTAAAAATTAAAACTTCGATGTTTTAACATCGATGTTGACATATGTCAAACATCGAAACATCGACGTCAATGAACCCATAATCGATAATTGGGAACTTGCAAACAATGCGAACTCGCGAAATCAATATCAATTAAATCTTGCATCTGCTCTGAAGATTAAAAATTTTGAATAATTCAGAATTTCTGAACGCATCGTTAACCTAAAAAAATGTCAGTATGGTGAGTCAAACCTAATTGTCAAGTGTCTCCTGTAATGTCACAATGGTCAATGCTTTCGCTTTATTTTGTAGTGTCGTTGTCGGTTGTCGCATAATAACTATTCTACGTAAATTGATATTCAAGTTAATTGTTACTTTTCCCTTGCTGTGTATACCCACATAATTTTGAAACAATGTGTAAGTATCTACACATATACAAAAACCATCGATAATGGTCAACATCGATGTTTTGAGTAGCCTAAACATCGAACATCGATGTTGAGCTGTCCATGCCAACATCGATGTTATTATCCCTATCTTAAAACTGAAGCCTAAGCCGTGGTAGC